TTGTAATATTCATTTGATGACAATAAAGAGCTATACGATGTAAATATGCTATTAGATCCTTTTTAGTGGAACTTTCAGGGCATTGATCTGCTATTTGTCTTGTTAATTTGTCTAATTTGGTGCCAGCTTCTGATATCTTTTTAGCAGCATTAATAACATCCATTGTCGTTTTCAAAGGACCACGACCACGAGTAAAGTCTGTCATTTCCATCATAATCATGCACATATGTTTAGCAAGAACTATAATGTCGTTTCCAGCATCATCCCATTTAGCAACTTCTTTATCAAACTTGAGTTTTTCGCTCTTAAAATATTCTACTTGTTGTAGAATCTTTTGTTTATCTTCTTCAGGCATTTTACGCATAGCTTCACGTGCTGTGGTTATACCACTAATTTCTGGATATTCATCAACTCCATGTTCACCAGTTTGAGCGCTTGATTTGCTACGAGTTTCCAATGTATAATGTTCGTCTAATTCTACATCTTCTGGATCTAAATCTTCGTCCGCCTAAAATACAGTAAATGTTAAAAAATAATATCTAAAATTCAAATAATGAAAGAAATTAAAGGCTTCTTACTCTATTCATTAATACAGCACGTCTGATTTCACGAACTCCATCATACACTAATCTAGATGCATCTATAAAATCATTCTCATCCACATCTTTTGCAGGATTACTACCTAAAGCATCTACTGCAACTTCAACCCTTTGTGCAAATTTAGGCATTACTTGCTCTCTCAAAACTTTCACTGCTTCTAAGACTCTCTTGGTATAAATACATGGTTCATAGTTGTCCATTTCTGCTTGAACAACATTACAAACTCTAGCGGAACGTCCTCTGATTGCTCCTGCTGTTCTATCTAAAGTATCAGCGTCCCCTTCTTGTAAAGCCAGTACACATTTATTTACATCTTCGAGAATATGGTTTTCAGATACTGCCAAGAAATCATCGATAGTTGTTATATCATCAACAGCTTCTGTAAGTACTCTCACTTGATTTTCCCATGCTAGACGAAATACATCCATATTATCGAGCGCTACTTTTGATCGACTACGAGCAGCCAACACACGAGCAGCATTTATAACTTGTGGACACAAATTTTCTATTTGTGCTGCTGCATATCGTACCATTTTGACACCATCTTCGTTACCTGACATGCTGCATACCAAATTAGCAACCTAAAAGAAATATATGAACGATTACAATTGGAAAATATTACTATTTATAATATCTCATTAATTATAAAATTCAAATGATTACTTCGACTAATTTATTTGCATGTTCAGTAAATACTAATGCATATTCTTCAACTTCTTTGTCTCTACCATTTCTTGCAGCTTCAATAAGGACCAATAAAGGTACGCTTGTTTCTAAGAAACTATCAGAAACATGATCTACAACAGCTTTTCGTAATTGTCTGCGAAGATCACGTGTTTTTCTGCACATATGATCTATTGCTCTTTCTAGGCCTTCCGTTTGTTCTTTAACACCCATCTGTCAGAATATATATTCGTGATAATTAATAAAAATATAAATTTATATATAATAAATCATTTTTCTAAGAAGTATATATATGAATACTATGTGCTATACAGCTTTCGTGAACCTTTTAATAAGACTATGTACAGAATTTAATAGTATACATACAACCATTTTATATTATTTGTTTTTTTTATAAGTCACTTATACATTGAACAATTAAAGTTATTTTTAATTAGAAAGACATAGTTTTTATTAAATATATAAGTTAAGTAACAAATTATTATTAGTATAGTTAGCTATTAATACGTAAAACTGATAATATATGGTAATAAAAAGATCGTAATTACCAATAATATTTGTAACTTTATACAATAAATTAATATAAAATAATGCATTTTTTCAAATAAATAATATGATAATTACTGAAGTAAATAAATATAATATAAAGAATAAATACATTCTTATTTCTTTTCCCTACATATTTAAAAATGTTAATAATTTGAGATTTGTTTATACAGTTAAAAATTATTATTTCTAAAGTTTACGAAAATAGAGGACAAACTACAGTACTTGTGAGCTACGATTCTCTATATACTTAAAATTATTAATTTGTAAATTAATAATTACATATCAGATCATACGTAACGGATAGCCCACTATGACTAAGAAGTTATTTATTTTTAATATATAAAATTCTGCAAAAAAAAAAAAAAGAAAAAAATATGTATAATAACGCGGTTATTAAAATATTATTTAGTGCTTGTTAGACAAACAAAATGCACAAATAATGCATGATGCTAGTATTGTATAAAAACAAGTATAAAAGTATCAAAAACCAATGTAATAGTGTATATTACAGGTGATATGCAACAAAAGTGCAAGATATTCGTAACTATGTTTTTGTATATTTACCCGTTTCCCACCCCGTGCGAGCTGTAACTGCCACCACCAATAGAAATAAATCAATAAAATGAATGTAATATGAATTATATAAATAAATGCAATAAAGAAGTATAAAATTGACAATTTCATTAACATAACATATAAAACTGTAGAAATATCATAAAAAACATAATAATAATAATAATAATAATAATAACTTTTATAAAGAGGAATGTATAAACAAAATAATTTACTTACGTTATTCATATATTCGCTTAGTAAATCTTGAAGTGCTTGCCTAACTGCATTACATTCGGCAACAATACGTTCCCTACGTTCATCTCGAGTACATGAAGAATCAGCCATTAGTGCTGCACCACTAATGATACTTTCTAATCTTTCTTCAAGACTCGGTCTTGTGCGAACTTCATTATAGGCAAGTGGAGACATAACCATTCTTTCATCAAAATCATCTAATGCAGCTGCCAATTCTCCTGGTCCATCATAAGGATGTTGACTATCAGTTGGAGTCTTTCCTTGTGCAACATCATTAATAGTATTCACAGCTTCGCAAACTTGTTTTAATACATAATCACGATTGGCTTTAGCTGCAGCTAATTCTGGATGTCGTACATAAACCTTGGAAGCAGTTAAAAGCATGGTAGAATGTTTTTTTAGAACAGCCCTAGCCGCTGCTAAATCATCTCTCAATTGTGGATCTTTAAGTTCTTGCTGACGTTTAGCTGCTTGATTCATAAGTTCCGATGCATTTCTTCCAAATTGTCTAATATTTTCCAATAATTCACCTTGCGATGAAGCATTTTTTAATTTTTTTAAATCATCTTCAACTACGTGCAATGACTTTAATAAAAGATGTACATCCACCATGTCTGCTAGGATTAATAAACGTGTAACCGCGGATAAAAGGTTTCTAGCTGCACGAACCATATTACCACGTTTGAGAGAGGAACAAGGATCCTCTGAAAATTCTCTATAAAATAATTATTAAATGTGTGATAAATATTTTTTGTTAATATAACAAAAAAAACAAATAAATAAAATACTTAATCATACCTAGCAGCAATACTCATCGCAGCACCAGTTTTCCTAACTTCTTCTACTGCGCTTAACATTTCTGCAGTAATATCTGGATTTTCATAGGCAATTTGTTCTCCCTTTTCGATAAAATTAGCAGTTGCTTTTTCCACTGTTCCAACCAAAGCGCTAGCTCTTTTAGATTTTCCTTTCTTTTTCTTACTGGGTCCCTTTGTGTTAACTAACGTAGTTACTTGCAACACTAATGGTTCCAAAGTTTTTTCTACAGACATAGTGCGTATTTCCAAATTTTTGGGATCCCATTTTAAAGTAATAGGTCCAAAATGATCAGACATTGTTACGTTTGCAATATTATCCTACAATAAAAAAAAATATAATATTTATATATTTTGGTTTTCAAAAATTTATATTTTCAAATTAAATATTAGTATTTTTTCTTCTCTCTACGAAAAAAAATAAATTGATATTAAAAATTCAATCAGACAACACAGATATCTATAATGTCTGATATTTAAAAAATAATCTAACGTAAAGATAATTTAAGGCTTTTAAACTATAGTCTAATCTATTTCCAACATTTTTACTATTTATATAGTCGTACGTACGAAAAAAATAATTTTAAACTTACTCACAAACCAATTATTATACTAAATATTCGATTTTATTTATTTATAATTTTAATTATAATATTTAATTTAAATAATATATGAAAAAAACATTTTATAGCGTAAGATTACTGATAACATAAAATACATTAGAGATACACTGTATATACATTAGATTACTTTCACTATAAAAAAAAGGAACTAAAGCTGAGCCTTTGTAAAGTTGATCATTAATATGACGAATATATCATGGAAGATATCCTTACCTTCATGAAAAAAGCAGTTATGTACGACTCGGAGAATAGTTAATTAATTAATGTTTTCACTTAAATTATTTCTCACTAAATCAACAACATCAAATATTGGAAGAACGCACAGTACTGATAGATGCATCATTCGTTTGTCATCTAATTTTCGCTTATGACGTCATTACTTCCGGCGGAGTTAAAAAGTTCCCCATAACTGAAGGAGCCGGTCTACGCCCGAAAGGAACGTTTTGATTGGATAGCGAAAATTGCATTGGTTTAGTCACGCGCATGCGTAGTAATAATACTAATGTTGCAATTGTGATTACATCTATAATTAAATAATTCACATATATATAATAAAATTTCATGAAATAAACACGTGTGATATATTATTTATTTATATTCTATTTATAAATATGATCATCGCACGTGATACTAAATTTTATATAATATATATATTATGAAATAATATTCAATAACAGATCAACTTTTATGATTTACAATATCAACTAAATGCATCTAATCAAACGATTAAAACAAGATTTGATATAAAAGATTTGTATGAATTTATTAATTTATTATTTTTATCTTCGTTAAATGTAACTTGTTATTGGTAATACTTATAAAATTTAGACTTGGTTGAATTCGCTTTTAAAATGAGAGCTTTACGATACACTCATGCAATGGAAATGAACGAGTAATATGCGGACGTTGGTACTACTGCTGCTTATTCTGAACGCGTACAAAGTCAAAACATTGAAATAACCTCAAACACATATTAATGAATTATAATATTTAGAAAAAAAATGGGAAAAAATTGAGAATTTACAATATGAACACACTTAATAAGAAACTTTTTATCTTCCAAGTTTTCACATACCTACAATAGAAAAAATAACATATTAATTAAATACGATAGAAACACCTGTAACCAAGTAAAATCAAATAAACTTTATTTCTCATTTAAGTATGACAGATGATGAACTAGAGTCAAATGAAAAAAATATAAAGGTCTTCGTGAGAATATTACCACTTGAAAAACTATGCAAATCATGTGTACAAATTGATACTGAACATAAGGTAGTTAATTAAATTTTTAGTAAATATTTACTTTGCTATCTCTGTTTACTAGTCAATTTTTCAATATATTCAATTATAATTAGAAAATATGCATAAGATGTTTACAAGATTTGCATACAAGGAGATCCGCTATTAAGAATCATATTTATTGGTGCTTTCAAACAGATGGAATTTTTTATAACGCATCTCAAGAAGAAGTTTATAAAGCGACAACAAAAAATCTTATAGAGAAGTACTAAGTACATGCTTAAAATGCAATAGTAAATTAATCAACATTTAAAGTAATATAATTTAAGGGTTTTAGATGGTGTAAACTGTATAATATATAGTTATGGTCAAATTGGCTCAGGAAAAAGTTTTACAATTGGCGGTTTAAGAAATAACTGGGAAGTACGATTCTTATAAATTGATATGTTAATATTAAACGTCATATTGAATATGAACAATAAATGTAGTAGTAAAATTCATTTTCTCAGCACAGAGGATTGGTTATGCGGCTTCTGTCTGATATGTTTACAGAAAAAGCAAAGCGAAGGAAAGTTAATAAAATACAGTATCGTTTAAGTTTTGTTGAATTACGGGGTAAAGAGGTAAAAGATCTTTTACTAGCTAAAACAGAAAACAGAATTAAAGTAAATGATACTGATGCATTTAAGGTACTTAAATTAAACATTTGTTTTAATCCTTTAACATTTTGGTTTTTCTTTCAATATTAATTTTATTATTGTTCACTATTAAACACACACACACAGTATGTATGTTAATAGTATAAATATTTAATTTTAACTAGTTAACTCTTAAAAAAATACATTATTGTAGAATGTAACAATAATAAATGTGAACAATCAAGAGACAGCATTGAAGAAACTTTTTGAAGGAGAGACTAGAAGATCTATAGTTACGGGTTCTTTCTATCCAGCTTCCCATTTAGGAACTGCAGTAATAACTCTTCATGTTTCGAATACAAGTTTAATTACCTCGTGGGCCGTTGTGGCAACAGCCAAAGTAGATCAAAACAATTCTTTTTTGTATTCCTGGGTTTCATAATTTTTCGTGGATTTTAACAATTTTTAAATAGATCAATTTTACGTTATGATAGATACATATTGTAGAAATGGCAGGAACAGGAACTGTAGGAAAACGAAATTGTATGAAATTGCCAGCAGACGTAGGTGCGGCGAATTTAGGTCAAACTCAAGTTGAAACATTTTTCTTATATTTGAGAGGCTTTGAAATATCTACTAAGTGTATACTACGTTCTAATAATCTTTTCAAGTTTTTGGGTCAAGCTCTTTCCGTAACGTCGATGCTTCGGTAATAACGACATTGTTCTTTATTGATTGTTATCAAAGAATGTTTTTAATTTTCTTAAAAAATATTTAAGTTTTTTATAATTCATAATGTTCCATTTGTAATTATTATTTTTGTAGATTTATCGCGCACGTATGCATTACAAAAGAAGATTTAGATTCAACATTGTCCACTTTGCGATTTGCTTCTACAGTTTCAAAATTACGTCCGGTTAAAATGAAATATAATGTTAGACCACACACTGAAACAATCATATCGGAACTCAAAAAAGAGATTGAAATGTTGAAACGAGAATTAGAATTAAATGAAATATTTTTAAATCAGGAAACAACAATAAATATATCGAAGTTAAGATACGAACAAATGCATCGTGACGTAATGCACTTTTTAAATGGTACATTATCTGATCTTACGTTATACAGCGTTTCGCAGATGGAAATTTTATTAACAATTATTAAAAATTTATATCATAAGTTGGTATATGTTATTTTCGTTTATTAAAATTATATTACGTTATATTGTTTTAATTTAATATTTTTATTTTATAATACAGATTGACTTTGAAACAGGCCGAGGTTGATACGTTAATTGAAACTTACGAAAACGCTTTGAAAAATATAAATCAAATAACTTTTTCAATGAATTTATCGAAATCTAACGATAAGGTATTTCGTGAATAGAATTTTATGGACACTAGATTTCTTCAATTGTAATTTATATACAAATAAATGATATAATTCGTTAATAGACCATTTTACCACCCAAAAATAATTCGATTGAAAATGAAACTCCAAATGTTAGATCGACTATTTCACAAACAAGTAAAGATATCATTCAAAATTCGAAAACGGAGCAAGTGGGTGTATTACAAAAAACAGGTGAACATATCAAATGAAAAACAGTATAAAATATCTATTTTACAATATCTTTTAAGTTGAAATTGGATTGATAATGATATAAATTCTTTGATAGGTATCACGTTAGGAAATTCTAACAAAGAAACATTTGAAAAATTTATAAAAGTACATAAACATGAACAAAATTCGCTAAACTTCGACGCAACGGAAGTACGTGGTTTAATAATTATATATATATATATTTTATATTATTTTATATTATATAATAATATTATATTAATAAAACGACGAATCTTCTAATGTTATTTAAAGGTTCATGAACAATTTAAAGATAATAATAAACTTTTGGTTTGTGGTGATGAAGGAGAGAAAGCTGTGGAAGATTTGAAAGTTAAATTCTATCAGTTACAAAATATGTTGACACGTAGCATCGAGGTAAAAATGTGAACAATTCTTTAATACTAATTAACACCTTTAAGATTAGAATTTTTTAAATAGTCCAATTGCTTTTTTATTTAGACCAAACATCAACCGAAAATGTCGACGATCCCGCGGAAAATTTTCTGTAATTGAACAGCGTTCAATAATACTAAGTAATGTAATAAGATAATTTAACGGATAATAGATGAGACGAATAATATAATGTAAGTTTATAACAATCTAGATAAAATGGAGATTAGTAAGATCATCATAAAACTTGGAATAAAAAGATTACTCAAATGTATATCTAAATAACGAATAAATTAATCATACTTTAAGAATATGAAATAATACACATTCCTATTTTTATACAGCATTGTTTATCTACTAAAATATAAATTATTCTTTATTATTTCAATCTCCTTGAAAATGAAGATTATTTCTTTGCTGGGGGGAGACTCTCAAAAGGAAATTCACTTTAGTGTCATAATAAATTCTTTTCCATTTAAAGTTCCAACGGAGTTCCGTCAACGCGTCGAAATCTAGATCAGCACCCTACCTGTCCAATGCAGAAGGTTCAGAGTATTGATTACTCTCTAGGAGGAAGCTACGTTGGGGAGGTGAATGGTGAAGTACGTATTGGAGAAGAGAGAAACGCAAAGAGGTTTTGGTAATTTCCTTTTTCTCTTTCCTAATATTTCAAAAATATGAACAATCGTCAATTGAAGTTAAAATAAGCAAGGAAGAAAGAATGAAACTAAAGTTCATTCTTCTTTACTTTTTATTAATTCAAAATCACAGAAACACTAGTGTAATATACGGAATGTCTTATTTATTATATTGACATTCCATATATCTTCGTTGTTTTGGTGTATAGCAACAATTTGAATTTAAAAAACAAATATTTTCCTTTTATTGTAATTCGTCATTTGAATCATGTAATTTTATATTTCAATATTATTGTCAGTTTTCGAATAATTAACGAAAGTATATAGAATACTCTTATACCATGCTTTGATTATTAGTATCAGTTTTCAATAATTAAAAATTGTATGCAATTTTTGTTGACATTTTCTATCAATTATCCTGTATAAAAAGAAGGGTTTATATCGAAATTAAAGATAATAATTGAACTAAGAGGGTTGTCGTGGATGGTTCTGGATGAAGAGAAAGTAAGAAAACTTGAAAAAAAGAAGGAAGAGATTGTGGAGGAAAGAAGGAACAACAGGAGGGAGAAGAGGAGGAAGTTTAGGAGGGAGAAGAGAATATAAACTGTGAGGTTGGTGAATCTATACACCAAGCTGATAGGACCGTACCCGAGAGAAGAGTAATGGTGTTGGTATATAAGGCACGAGCAGCCAACGTCTGCTTCTGACAGCCCATTACCACTGTACAAACGCGAGTGCGGTGCTTTGGTAGGATTGCGATGGCGCTTGTGCCTCGATCCTCTCTCGCGTTTGTTCCCTCTCTTTCTCTAGAAAAAAAGAGAGAGAAAACTTGCACTCTTTTTACTCGATCATGGTATTTCGTTGTAAAGGAAGATATCAAAGTAAAGTTACTACATTATCTTTTGTTTATTAACTTGTGAATAAGGCCAAGCATTACAAGGAAGTTAAAGAGGGAGAGAGAGAGAGAGAGAGAAATAGATAGAGAGAGAAAGAGAAGGATCTTCGAAAGATATCTTTGTATTATTTTGAATAAGTAACATATATAAAATCTGAGAATATTTCAATTAAAATATTCACTATCTTTTTATATATTATCTTAAAAAACAGATTTTTAAACGAATAATTTCTTTTTTTATTTTAAGCAAACGAGAACATTTGTTTATATTTACAAATAAATTATGCATTTATGTTAAAAAATAAGACATTTTATCGAGAAATGGATTTAAAAGACATTTATACGTTCTCAGGACACAAATAGTTATGCAAGTAGTACGGAGTCCATGCGAAATGACTTGACGGTGTATTCTTGGTCGCCTTGCTGGTGGCAAAGACTTTAGCTTGGAGCCACGCCTGGTATCCCCCATGGAAGCTGTTTCGTAAGCCACGCCTACAATGTGAACCTCTCTCCGACTCTTCTCTCTCCGTTTCTGCTGCCGCCCACTAACCCGGAGGCAGTAACGAAAGAGGGAGAGGGAGAGGGAGAAGGAAAAAGAGAGAATGAGAGAAAATGGGAGAGAGAGAGAGAGAGAGAGAGAGAAAGCCTAAGGGCTAATAATTCATGTCACGAGCACACCCCACCATAAAGAGTCAACTACAGGCACCTCGAGCGTATTCCATATCAGCGACCACTCTGCCGCATAACGTTATTCAGTTGCAGTTACTGTTAATTACCGATCACCTTTTATAATTTATTGCTACACCTCGAACCAAGCTCGCTGCAATGACGCCGGAAACGTTGGAAAATTCCCAGTTACCGTTATCGAACGACTGATCACCGACAATTATGTAACACCAAAAGGATTGATTCGACTTTGTATTGTATTAACACACAGAATACTCTAGCCGTTCTTATTGAATCGTTCGATGCTATTTATATAACGTTTCTTCTCCTTGTTCTCGTTTAATAGAATTACGTTATCATTATATCCGAATTTTTTTAAATCTGTGTACATTTTCCTACCAACATAACGATTTTTATGATAAGGATTCTCTTGAAACATTGAAATTAAACTGATGCATTATTTAAGCCTATCTTTAATATTTGTATCATTCGATGTCTTCAATTCTAAACGTTCTCACATGTAGGTAATAGTTCCTTGAACGATATCTATCTTTTGATATGCACAAAATTATAGGAATTTACGGAACTGTATATATATAATTATTGTAATCGTGTGAAGGGATCAAACGAGTAATATTTATCTAAGATCAGCATGGCGATTAGCGGGTTGTTAAATTAGTTGCGAAGTCCCGATTTTCTTGCTGATTTGTAGTTGGCCCCTAAAATTAGCCACAGTGACATATTGAAGACCATGCGAAGAGAAAGAGAGAAAGAGAGTATGTTCTTTGCCAAGACCTCCCCCTCTTCCACCAGTGCTTCCCCTATATTATTTAGATACAAAAGAAATGCCCTGGGAAAATCAAGTGACGCGTAACTAAACGCTCTATCATTAATTCCGACATGTATGTTTATATCGTTTCTCGGTTAAAGAGGGACGTACATCTACGCATGTATATATAAGTATATATAATATGCACGAATGTATGCAGTAAGGCCAATTTTCTTTGACAGGAAACTCTTGCCTACGTGTAACACGTTTCTCCTCCTTTTTTGCCGACACTTATACCGTCCTCGATACCTTTACTACTGCCAATCAGGTTGCGATCTGCCGACAAAGGATGGTTCTGTCGATGCTTCGGTAAACCCGGAAATCGACACTAACGTCCGATATATTCGATAACTCTCTTTCTTTCTATCTTTCTTTTTCTATACCTGATAGAGAGACTGTTAACATATTATTTTCAAGATCAAAATTTTGAATATACTTTGAGAAATATACCCCTATGAAAGATATTTGAAATCATTTTATATTTAATTATGAATGTTAGAATTTTCTTTCAGTTTGATAAAATAATAAGCAACATCATATCGTAGTAACAGTACAGTGTATGAAACTCTAATTATAATTACTGCAAAGAGAAATAATTTCATATTTAATTATGAACGTTAGAATTTGATAATGAGATAATTAGAAATATCATCGAGTACACGATTAAAATGTGATCAAAATAATAATGTAACTATGAAAAATTTTTATTATGTCGTAATTAATAGAATTCTATTTATTATTTCTTTTTTATATTGAATTAGACAAAGAGAAGAAATACTTTTTACACCGATGGACGTTAGGACGGAGAGCTCAGCGGTGGTCCTTGCCTCGCAAACAGGCTTTCGGGTAGCAAGCCTATTTGGTACACGTGTCTTTGGATGTTGAATCGCAGTGATCCACCCATTCGTCGGGAAAGAAAGAAGAGAGATCGAGGATCGCGACAAAGAGGGTCCTGTGGCACGTTTTGCCACGTGACCAACGATGCTGGCTAGTTCACGTAAGTGCCAGAAAGTACGAGGGTGTACAAAGCCAACGGCAGCTTTCTTTCTTTCTTTCTCTTTCTATCTATCTCTTGGTTTTTCGATTGGCCGCAATTTAGTATCGCGTCGTTGCACGCGATTGCTTTCATGTCAACCGCATTACTCTGCATATTTTATTTGAATTTTTCAATCGTTTCTTTTGCCGAACATTTTTTCTTATAAAGTAATCCCTATTCATGCATAATTAACATGCTCATTATTCATGGAGTCATCAGATCAATTCTACTCAAAATTTATGTTACAAATACGCAAGTGACACGAATTTAATATATTTCATTGTTAGTATATATAAAAATTAACATGAAGTGATGATTATAATTTAACTCGTTATCTTTGTTGTGTGTTTCGAAGTGTTTCATAAAGAATAACGAAGAATATGGGATATTCTTCAAGCAGAATATCCAATGAATCTAATAACGAAAAAGATATCTGAATGAAAGCTAACGAAAGCAAACAATAAACGATGAACAGGATCATTATGCATTGCGGCTGGTAGATTTGCTTTTCCCAACCGCGATCTATCCGCAAATCAAAGAAACATGCTCCTCCGCGTCCGTGTGTAACTTCGTCGTAAGCATATTTGAGCAATAAATAATTTAGCAAACAAATTGATCCCTCGGGACTATAAACAGATACTTAGAGGCACGCGTTAGTTCGGTGAAATGAGAATGAAAATGTCTCGTCCACGGTGGTATTAGAAAATAGTCGAGACTTATTCGCGGTTTAAAGGACAATAGTTTAACGGTAAGGTTTGGTAGACCCCTACTGTGAGAACCGAAGTGGGGCCTGCGGCGTGAAATCTCTATTATAGGGGAGGGGAGTCCTTCGAATCCTGGTACCCTCTCTTCTTGTGCGTGTGCATACACTCCTTAGATACGCGCGTGCTTCTATACTTGTTGTATGCTAGCTACGTTTGCTGGGACTGTTGCTGACAAGGGGTCCGCCTGCTTCTTGCCCCCTTCAAAATATTGTAATCGCGAATTAAATGTTTGCTCAAATTGTCACACCGTATTATTCCTGATAAATCTAGGAATCCAATAATTCATATCTTTTTCAATTTTCGCAAAATCTATGAGTAATATAAATAATTAACATATTGATAACACATATATTTGTCTGTTAGTCCAAATTTTGTATAATTTTATTAATTGGATTTTTTTTAATTTTGCTTTATCATTCTTTGTCTTTTCCTTGTCACATCAATTTCCATCAAAATGACCTCGTTTAAAAAATTGCAACTTTTGCAAGTGACAGAGCTTAGGGATGTTGTATCGAAAGATAAAAAAGGTATCGGGTATAGTGAAACGCTGGATTGCGAACTCTCAACGTTTTCCTTTCAATCGTGACAAATTGAGATAAATAATCGTTTGCGGGGACACAATACTCGTTCGAAATTTGTCATGGCGATACTCGAAACGCCACGCTTCGAGTATTCACAGACAAATACTCGAGTGAATACTTCAGTTACATCTGGCGATGATACGAGAGCAACAGTATCGGTTGTCGTTGTTGTTATTGTTTTTGATTCTTCATTTCTATCGCATATATTTTCTATTTGTTTATTTTTTTTTCCGATAATTTTGTTACGAAAATTAATCGATTATTAAGAAAAGAAAAAAAATATTAGAAAGATAAAAAATCGTCGAGTTAAATAAATTAATAATTACTCGATTTGATAATAATCCATAGATCAATCTCCTGTCAAAATGATAATATCGAAATATGTAAATGAAGTATATGAAAGAAGAAAACGAAATCAGAAGGGTATATAAGAACGACAAAGTTCTCATGCACTCGAAGGCTAATCCCAATTATATCGTGCATTGATCGCTTATCCCGACAATATTAGTCCTGCCTTCTCTCCCACTCGATTTATTCCAGCTTCTATTGCTAGAGAGAGATATACTCCTTTTTCACTTATCGAATGGACTAAACTTTATCAAGCTCTACTACCCGCAATCCCACCGAATCACTATTGTCGTCGCATTAACACCTTGCATAATTGCACCAACTCACCGACGTCGTCGTTCTCTCCATTGTGCGTCAGCTAAACATACCTCATTTGAATATTGGCCTATTCATATAGCTAGGAAGCCTAATTTTCGTACCCTTTAACAGGGACAACATCGATGTTCCTGCTTGTATTCCTTTCCTTTCTATTAGTTCCGATGAATTTTCTTTTTCTATTTTACAAATTGTAATATTGTTGAAGAGATCTAGATCGATTTATATTACTTTGATCGATCAGATTTGTGGAAGAAATAAAAATTTCTTTTCGGCTGAAAATGAAGGAAGATAAAAATTAGAAATGTTGATAAGAAGTATCTAATATTTTGCACGAATAGAAAATTAAACGGGATTTTACAAAATTTCTTTCGTTCGTCCTTGATGAAATAAAAAAAAGTTCCTCGATGATATCATTTTTCCTCGTATAAATCGTATCCTCTAGCTTTACTCTCGCCTCATTCTGCTTGGGTTTTATCATGGAACTGGGAATCGTATGTGTATTTGTGTCTGTAAAAGAAAGAGAGGGTGAAAAAATAAGTTAAAATAAAATTTCGACGGCAGTAACAATGAACCGCAGATACGCTCGGTAGACAAACGTTCGCTATTAAGCCTTCACCAATCGGAAAAGATTGTGATAATCACTTCGGAGAGGAGCGAACCTGATTGGACGGAGTCCACGCCCAGGGGTTGGTATCGATCATCCCCCAAAAGGGGGATTTCTTATATAAACCAGTCTCCCTAGGGACACCGACGATAGTCTAAATGCATCCGATCTTTGAGAATGAATGAATGAATTCGCGAGTGATCTATTAAAGATGATCTTTTGAATGATTTTTTAAATTGATCTCTAAAGATTGATAATTTAACAAGAAAATCCGACGGTGGTTAAAAATATTCAAAGTGTTACTCAACGAAAATCGAATTTCTCGATTTCCTAAAGTGCAATAAAGAAGAAAAACTATTTCTTTATAAAAACAAAAAACTCATCAAAATATTCATCTAGGACGTTTTAGAACGCGAAGATCGTTTAAGTGAAGATAGAAGAGTTTGCAAGAAAAGGAAACTGAAGCAACGAATGCTTTCGTGAGATTTAGTCAAAGAAGTAAGAAAAAGTATGACGAGCCATCCGGGATATGATTACGAAGATAGAGGTCAAAGAATCCGCCATCGTGTCGGTACTGCTTCGAGACCAGCCGATTCCACCGTCGCTTGTAGCAGGTTCATTTTTCTTTTTGATTCCTTTTTAAATCTCTTTATCTCTTTCATCTTCTTTTCTTATCATTCCCAAAATTTTCTTTCCTTTGAGACACGCGTTAATAATTACTATTCATTTTAAAGACGACGGTGATAATGATGATCACGCGATTACTTTTTCAGTTCTCAATATTACGTCGGTCCAAGTAGTGACATCAGTGAAGAGGATATAGCAGAATTACCTTCTTGCGTTTACGCGAGTAGATCCTCTCAACACGTTGCACATGCTTCCTCGCACACGCATTCACCGTTGCACTATCACATGCCAGTTGCTACACCAGGTAGTAATGGATTCCTATAATCTGAGTTTTTATTTAATACTTATGATTTTGGCGTTTCTAACTAAACGATAACAATTAATATTCATTTCACTTTATCTTCATTTTTGTTTATAATCTCATTATATTTTGTTTGTTTACTGTTATTTATAGATCACAATGATACTGACATGAACGGAGTTGAAGAAGGTTACTATCCAAATGGCAGTCCGTACAGAATTCAACGACATGCCGCGAATATACGTGAAAGAAAACGTATGCTTAGGTAAGAAATTACTCTTTATACAATAGTTAGATTAACTTTGTTTTTTACGAGTATCTAAATTAAATTAAATATTATACATATGAGAATAATTAATATGTTCATTAACACTTTAACGACCGCTCACACAACATGTGTGTGATAGCCGGAACAACCGTTACCGACCGCTCACACAACATATGTGTGATGCTACCGCCGAAGGTTTTTGGCCAGTACCACACTATTTTTAATTTTTGATTAAACTACGGTTGTGTACCATGTAAATTGTAATAATTTATATTGAAAAATATTAAATTTTTGTTGTTGTTTTTTGTTTTATGTTAATTTTTTCGTGAAATTAATAAAGTACTTTAAAATTAATTCTTCAAAAATACTGCCGGCATCTGGCGACGTTTGACTGCGTAGATGTGCGGTCGTTAAAGTGTTAAGAGAGTTTTATTTATCGAAAATCGTCGTATGAACAATTCAAAGTCTGAATTCAATTAAAGATCACATGAAAATCTGTTTTTCTCGGTTTTATATCAAATTTATCTTGTTACTTATCAATCAATTTTTAACATTAATTACATTTTCGGAAGTTTCTTCGTGAGTGATCATTTTCACGACTCCGCGAGTTAAATGTATGTGTATTTTGTAATCATTTCGTAAGTGTATTTAAATACATTCAATCCGTACGTATACCGTAAACTTAAAACTGTTACATATCTACCTCCTATTAACAAGAAATAGATTGTCAGTGTGATTGCGATTTTTAGCAGCATCAACTCGGCTTTCGACGAGCTTAGGGTTCATGTACCAACATTCCCGTACGAAAAGAGACTCTCGAAAATTGATACTCTTCGTTTGGCGATAGCTTATATTGCTCTTCTTCGAGAAGTCCTAGCAGCAAGACTTGATCCTTTGACTTATGTTGAGAGGTGCCTTAGGGGTGAAATCAATGGTGAACGTGCCGAATGGAACACTAGTGGTAAGCTAACAAAATTTATTGATTATTACATGCGTAACATGCGTTTATCTAATGAATCAAATTATAGAATAAAAAATAACCAATCACAATGAAATATTAAAAACTTTATCAAAATTTTTAAGACTTTTAAAAATTATTTTGAAAATTGATGGGAACGTTTTAACGCTGTAACGAAACGAGATGATTTTAATTACAGATCTGACTGCACGTTTGTCATGGATTAATTGGGAAAATTTAGGAGTTAATCCTAATCGACGTTCAGTTCTAACAACTCTCGCATTAACTACAGACAATATGAATTAAAATAAGCAACTATACAAAATTGACAAAAAAACAAAAAAAGAGAGAAACACAGAGAGATCCTTGCTTTTCTTCTTTGTAAATACTATTTTCAAATCTTTAAGCCGAGATATAGTGCCAAAAAGACATTTATTCTATTTTAATTTATAATTTACGTGCAATAAGATCGACGTTACTGTATCATCGTCTCTCCTCGTCATGTATTACATTACATGTGTGTGTGTATGGCAGTAATGAATTTAAGAGCATTAACTAGTATATATGATAGTTTAGTATTTTTTGGGGGAAATAAAATTGATATTCGTGAAAGAAAATAATGCGTTATTCATTTTCTAATTACCTTTGAATTAAAAGACCATTTTTAGAAAAAGAGAAAGAAACTAATATAAGCAAAGAAACTTTTTCCGTATACAATTTATTGTAAAATTCTTTAGACTGCAGTTAAAAATCGTTCGAATGTCTTGATCGCACTTTTGAAACAAAAAAAGACTTCATTTCTTTTCAAAGATGACGCAACGTACCAATGTGAGAAAATAAAAACATTTGAAAGATGAACAGTCCATTAGTAGACAACGTGAAAGACATTCTTTAACGTGCGTGTTTAGTCGTAACGGATTTCAATCGTGTCTGATTTAAGAATCCTTGTTCGTTATTCTACAAAAATTCTTTCGTGAGGTGCAGTACATTGAAGGCGATCAAACGAAGCTAATTAAAATACAGAGACTTGTTATTCAAACGAATAAAACAATCTTCCGAGTTTGATTTTCTAAACAACGTTGAGCGATTAAAGTGTTTTCTTTTGTACTGTCTAATCCTTTAAATTGTATCTTTTTAAAATGGATGAACATGTAAGCTTGATTTTAAGTACAGGAGAAAAGAATATTTCAAATAATACTATTGTGAATAAAATAGTCCAATATGAGAGTGACAGAAAATTAATAAATTGGAAGGAAAAGGACGCCGAAGTTTATAAAAATTCCAAATGTTTTCGTTATATACTTGTCGATTCTTCGAACAAGTGTTCAAAAGTGATAAAATATAACAGAGAAAATGTCGGAAACATCGTATCGTTGTGTCAGCAAATATCGTTGAGAGAAAATAATGTAGACCGAGAAGGGAAATCTAAAGAAGAGAGAAAGAAAATTGAGAGAAACAATAGAAATCTGTATACCTTGGAACAAAAAGAAGAGAAATCTCAGATGGCACTGTCAGAAAATTTTATGGCGGTTCCGATGACATCATCTGAAATTTCGACCAATAATCGATCAGTTTGCTTTATGAGCGGCAATTTAAAAAAAGAAAACGTGGATGCACTGAAATTTCCTTGTAAAATGATAACTGATCAATATAGAAAATCTTCCACAGATGACAGTGGCCATAAACAACAAGATTTGATGAAAACAAATAATAACGGTGGAGGTAGTTGTAATTCTAGTTTTCTTGTTGAGAAATTAAAACGAATTAATCAGACGATGAGGAATAAAAAGTGAGTCTTTGGTTTTTTTTCCATATTTTTCAGTTTTTTTTTTTTATTATTATTGAAATAAATAACTAAACGATTAATAACATCTCCCTATTAAATTATCCTTTCTTTTTTGAAGGAGTTTTGTAAATAATAGCAATTCTTTCCTTTATGGGAGAATTTAAGGTGAATGTTTAAATTGAATGAAAAGTACAAAAAAATATATAAAAAAATAATATCAGCTTATAACTGTTCCTCATATTTTTATTTGTATGCCTTAGTTATCGGTGAATGTTAAAAAGATGAAAAAAGAATATAGACTTGGCCGCTTTCTATCTTGTATTTTTAAATTGTAAAAAAACGCGCATACACGTACAGAAATAATTACTAATCAAATTATAATTTTTCACAGAGAAGTTGCTTTCGGACGCAGAAGTAATATTTAACTGATACCGTTTTTCATTTATTTTTTACAAAACATACAGATTGTCTCGAATTACTTTGAGATCGTGTACAAAACATTTTAACAAAACTCCGAACAAAACATAATCGATAAATGGCCAACGATAGCGATAGTTACTGCTGATTTAATCATCTTAATATCATTAATAATTAAAATTATTACAGTTAACGTGCGAAAAATTTTGACGAGTCGTTTATTTATTATTCTTATTCCAAATTATCAATGAATCGATAAATCTCATAATTCCATTCGGATGATTTATTTATTCATACGAAATAACGTGTTTAGTTTTTGATTTTGAGTTTTGAACGGTAGTGAAAAAAAAGAAATGTTACCTTGTCTCGGTAAATGTGAAATGAAAAAAATCATTATTTAACATTGAATTTACTTTTAGCCGTGGAACTTTAGAAGTTAAGCGGAATCCGATGCGGGTTAGTAAGAAAGACATCGATAAAAATTTTCGATGTCCAAGACAGTGTCTGTTGTCGATTAAAAGGAAGGATTCCTTCGAAAATTCGATGTTTGCGATCTCTGATCGAACTAAATCATCACCCACGCCGTATATGAACACAAGATCGGTTACTCGTAAAATGTGTAACGTTGGAGCTACTTACCAAGCACCTACGAAAAGAGACGAGACTCAATGGAAGGAATGGCCTGTTCATGGAATGCATGAAAGACCGGTTTTTCATTCGCAGGTAAAAAATATTTTTCATATTATAATTTTTTTGTGTTTTTAAACAAATTCATTAACAAAAAAAAGTGTAATTTATTTATTGTAGGTCGGACTTGCAGCTGAATATCTGGGACGTTATTTCGTCAGTTTGGATGGACTTTCTTATCAACAAATCGTTGATAAATCTGAAGTAGAAGTGATCTCGGTAGATCCCAATGGTGAATGGTCATCGTCCATCGAGAAGAAGCGAAGTAGAAAGGTGATACATTGAGAATAAAACAGAAATTTTGAAAAGAAATGAAATCTTTAATTATACTCTTTTTTGCACATTTTCTGTAGATGGTAAGTACAGTCTATCGAAAAAATACCGAAGATAAGAAAAACCTACATCAACAAGAACAACGAACTTTCTCCGATACGTCGAAAGAGAAACAACAAGAATTTGTAGGAAACTTCCGAAATTGTAGCAGAAAATCATTGGACAACTCAATTACCCAAAGTTCGAAAAAATCTGTCGAGGAAGAAAACTTTTTGAAAGGATATGCGATTGCTATGTCTCAGAGCATTCAGAGTTCTGTTAATTATGTTGAAACTAATTCTTGGCCTGCTGCTGCAACACCGACGACAATGTTCGTTACCGAACGACCAAAACCGTCTAATAATTTCTACAATGTTCCAACTTTACACAATAGTCAATTAAAGTTTGCTAATATACTTCCAAGACCATCACCAAAAAGTTCTTTAATATTTGTAAGAACTACGGACGCTAAAACTTCGCATTGTTGCTCGACATCGTCTAATCAAATATATAAACAATTCTCTAATGAGATTAATAAAACTAAATTGACGGATACCATAGATGACGAGGCATTGATGGAAGTTAATTCAATTTATAAAACTCCTATACCAAAAGAAAATTCTTTTTTTAGTTGCGAAAATGCTTCATGCAATGCCAGTCATTTCTGTAGAAAGGGAACGATAAGTTATGCTAACAAGCCACAGCAAAATATCGTTATGACCAAATGTCTCTTTACCGCTAGACAAGAGAAACGAGAAAGTATACAGGATAATCAAAATATTAAAAATGTGAACAAGAATTTAAATGATAGATCGACAGTAGAAATAACATTGAGAGAAAATAAAGACAAATCTTGTACAACTATTAACAATAACAACATTGAAAATTGGTCTACAAATGAAACATCTGAAATTGCAAAAATTCTTTCTGAATATAATAGAAGTATAACAAGGAAGTCAACTATACAGGGAGATAACTGTACTATTCCTTTAAAAATTCAAAAACCTAATATATTACGTAACAATTCGAAAAATTCGAAAGAAACTATATGGAGCAAAGATGAAGGAAGAATAGATATTAATTCAAGAGAAGATTTCACAGAGAGACAAGCTAGCATTAGATTACCTCATGGAAAATGGAGAAGATTTCACTTCACTGTGGAAAAGATCAAAGATTCGTTGGATGCCACTGATCGTACGCAATCAACGTTTAACGAACATCAACAGGCAACATTACAAAATGCCAGAATCAGTACAAATAACATTAATGCTAATAATTATACTCCTCGCCGAGAAAACAGAAGAAAATCTCAGCTTCATTACAAAAGTTATGAGATGTTGCCACACGAAGACATTTCTAATCTAACGAATTCTATAACAAAAGAATGTAAGACAAAAAAAATGGAGAATTCAATGAAAACACAATCTTTGCAAGAATTGTTAGAAAGTACAGCTGTTTTATATTGTGCTACAGCTAGCGGTACTCATCAAGAAGGTCTAGATAGTTACGTTGATACCACCAATAAATCTGTCCAATGGTTGGATTCATGGAATAACAAAATTATTTAAAAATTTTTATTTTTCTTATTAAGAAGAACGATCCTGTTAAGATCATATTTTTCATTATTTTACGTTTTTTCTATGTTAAGTACAATATGTGGGTAATTTTTAATTATACTATTAAGTTTTTAAGTTATTAATATTCTTACATAAAAAAAAGAGTTTCTTTTTGTATTACATATTTTAAATGTGAAAATAATTCATAAAAAATAAGAAGAAAAGAAGAAGTTATTGGTATGTTACAGGAATGTTAATAAAGTTTATTAGTTTACATTTAGTTGAATCGAGAAGTAGAGAGAAAATTAAAACTTATAGTGAAGAACTTGAGGATTATATACAAACTATATATGTAACGTAATTAATAATAGTAATTAATATCTTAGAATATGTTATTATATATATATCTTACTTAAATTAGAATATGATTATGTAATACTTATGCAAAAAGGTTTTCCGAAATATTTAATCTCTAATCATATATTTATTTAAATAATTTTTTAAATGACTTTTCACTCTCGGAAAGACTGATTGATTATGGTATAAAACATTAGTTTTTGTTTTTGAGATTAATATCAAACCGTCATTGATTCTGGTATGTATAATAAGTACAAAAATGATCAAAATTATTAAGTAGAGAAAAAATAAAGTAACAATGCCGAGATTTCGTTGTCAGTCCTTGTTTTGTCGTCGTTTACGTTGAATTCGTTTGCTATCATAACATTAAGAAACATAAATTGTTTAATTAATAGAATGGATTTTAGAAATTATTTTAATAATTTAATTAAAATTAGAGACGAAATTACCTTTTTCTTTCAGATTCAGAATCACTACTCTGACTAGAACTTTTATTATCATTGAGATCCTGCGTCGAGGTATCACTTTCAGTTTCACATTTATTTTTTTTACTTGAACTTTTGCTCGAATCTTCGCTCTTACTTTTTGTTTTATTATCCACAAATTTTTTTTTTTCGCTAGATTTGTCGATTTTTTTTTTACGTTTCTCATCGTCACTCGAATCCTCCCAATTTTTGGATTCGCTTTTACGCGAACCTTTGTTACTTCTATTCTCTTGTTTCTGCGATTTTGTATGCTTTGACGAATTGCGAGAACTCGAAGTCGAGTAACCAGTATCTTGACGAGTTTTTCTATAATACATTTGTTTTCTTTTTTATAAATCTTCTTAAACGATGAAATAACGAATATTTTTTTAAATCAAATGAGATCAATCGAATTAAAATTAAAAAAGGTTTCTTACCGTTTAGAACGAATCATTTGCTTTGGCGATGAATCAAACTTATCGATTTCTTCGGTAGAATCCTCCGAATCAGATAAATTTTCTTCAATGTCTCTTTCCCTTTTTCTTTTCCTTTTTTTATCTTCTTGAGATCTTCTACTTCTTGCCTCTTTTGACATATCCGCTCGAGAAATGATACTAATATTAGATATTTCGTATTTTTCGTACTTTTCTTTCTTCCGTTTGCTATTACTTTCACTGTGAACGACGTATAATCTGTACAGTTGCAAAAGTATTACCAAAGTGTTTTTACATGTAAAAAATATGTTCATGTAACTGACTATTTGATAATGTATTATTAATATCAGTCTAAATGCTAAAAAAGGTCCGTCCTGTGGAAAAGAAAAAAAGAAAATAGCAATAGAAATAAAGATATGATATATATTTTTATATTATAAGTTATGTAATTTTTTGTATACAATATAGAAGTTCATGTAATAATTTGGTTTGACATAAAATATATATAAGGATTAATATACCTGAAGAATCATGTTAAGAGCAATGCCCCAAATATCAATACTGCAACAGCCTGTTTCCGTTTGCACCCTCTTTTTCATAGCACTTCCGGAAGATAATCGCGATTTTCTCGATTTAGTAGCAGTAAGGACGACCGTGAATTGCATCAAAGACCAAGCCCAAATTCCCAAAGTTAAATATACCAGAACAGGTTCGCGAGCTATTCTGTCCTCCTTGAAGGAATCAAAGAATTCGATAATGTCAGCAGCAGTTCCAATATAAACCAAAAGTAACTGACTCAACTGATCTCTCGTAAGATCTCCTTTGGGTAACATCCATCGACCGATTATTAAGATCAGCATTAAAAATTGTTCGATTAGAGTCACCCAGGTTTCGGTGGATATTTGGATGTCGGGTAAATTAATGTTTACCTTAACAATTAAATAACAAAATAATTACAAATTCTATTGTGCACGTAACAAATGTATATAATACGTTAAATATGTATGAAAAAAAAAAAATAGTGAGCTGATCTTTTATTGTTTTTTTTTTTTTAACGTACGCCAAGAGCTTTTTCTAAGTGTTTTAAATCTTCTGCTGCCAAATTGGATAAATCGAAGTTTTCGGATATATTGATATTAGATTCTCGAGATCTTAATCTCTTATCAACTTTGTCGAGTTCCAAAAGCCAAATTGCTGGGACCACACTGCTTAGATATAAAAATACCGAAGGGCAAAACCTGAAATAAAAACGAACGCAATTTGTAGGCTTAGTTCGAAATAATAAAAAGAAAGGATAGATCGAATCCAGGTTAGTGGTTCACAATATTTTGACGAAGTCAATAATTTTTTATCCTATCCGACTATCATACAAAGTAGATTCCAACTCGGCCGCTCTCGAGTTACTAATGCTTCAATTTCCGTCTGTCAAACGGAGATGGTCCCACAAAAACACACCCTTCCTATTGTATAATATTAGAAAAGCGCTATTCGTTCGATTTTGTGTAGAAATAAAAGAAAATATATATTTAGTTTGATTCTAATATTACGTAAAATGTTTCATGTTATTTCACGATTGTTTTTAATAAGTATTGATATAAAAACAAAAAAAAAACTAAATATTATCTATCATATGTTATCCAATAATGTATGCATATTATATAGTTTTCACATTATTAAGATAACTTTCATGAAATTTTTAATATTTATAAAGAAAAGATATAGTCCCGCCAAAACCGCATTAAAGATAAATGAAGTTTTATACTTAAGACTCACCATTTCCATTCTTGATTTTCTTTTATGGTGAGCGTGAAAATACCCTCAAAAAAAAGGAGCAAAATTGGACAACTCAAGTACCAGAAAAGTGGATTCTTCTTAAACGTCGTTACCTGCCAAATAGCGATAAAACCATGCGACGCGAATACCAAACGAGTTATTATGGCTTTTACAGTGGCTAAGAATTTAGCCATGTTTAATGATTAATTTATACGCTTATTTTCTTTTTTCTTTTTTTTAACTCTTTGTATTAGAACGAAACACTTCTTAATACCCTCTATATTTATGAGAAAAAAATTAACGTCGGTCGTAACGCAGTAAAACATTTATTTGAAAATATATCGGTTTATACGTTTGCAAGAGAATAAAAATTATTATTTGAAGTATACAAAGAGAAAAAATGAAAAAAAAAACAAATTACTATCACTCGCCGTAAGTTATTCTATCGCACCTGATGCGTTCGAACTGGAAGAAAGGACAAACTCTAGATTCATTCTTCAGCCTATTTTTTAAATCCACGCACGCACGCGCAATTTATCGATACATGCATTTCTTGGAAGAGAAAATGTCGATACTTTCACTATTATTCATTCAAAGAAATTTTTTTATTTCATTGTTTCATTTTATTTTACTAACAATAACTAAGTATATATTATTATAACGATTTAACATTAAAACTAGATATTTTGATTACTTTTAAAATATTATATTTTCTATATTACCGACAGTACAGTGTCAAGTTAGACAATTAGACTAATTTTCTAGAATTGAAATAATAATTGGATAAAGTACTTGAAGAGATTACGATTAAATATTTTTAAAAATATTCTGTATAATAAATTATAAATATCGCTTATATAGATTTGATTATAATTAATAAGTATCTTTTATGAATTTTCAGCAAATTAAATCTTGTAAAATGTTAAAATAACGTATTTATTCATACTGTATGTTTAAACATAATTATAAAAGGTGTATACATTTTAATATTTCATGTTATGTGTAAAATTGCTTCTCGAAGATTAATTTTTAAAAGTATTTATGTATTTCCCACATTCTTATATATATATATTAAAGTATTTATATTTAAATATTTTTAATGATTTATAAATACGTTCTAATGTTTATATATAATTTCCTAATAATATACTATGCCAAAAGCTTTTCACTATTATCAGTCTTATTAGATGTTTCAGGAGATTCAATTTTCTGATTTTCCTTATAACATGTTTCAAGTAATTCAACATTTTCATTACTATTTTTATAATTATTATTTCTGCTATCTAACAAAGAATTTGGTTCTATTTCGTTTGCATTTTGCGTAGAAGATGTTGCAGATACATTAGAAATAGAACTTTCAGGTGGTTTTACTTCTGTCTTTTTTTTAAGCTGTGCTACTATAGTAACATAATTGGATGGTATCAAACCAACATTTTTGCTATCTGTTGCTATCCACCAACCAGGCATATTTTTAGGTTGCAAAGGTTGGGGAGCCAACCAAATTTTCTGTCCTGCTTTTAGACTCATTTCATCATTAGACGTAGCTGTAAATTCGTATAATACATTTGCTACGTAGACTGGTTCTTTAAAATTCGTCCATTCTTTAGGATCAGTACCTGTAATATATTTCAAATTATAATTATATATTAATATAAAAGATTTATACATTACATCGAATTTCAATTCCAACTAAACTTACATTTTACTTTAAGTTCTTTAACGTTATTCGATATTTTGTGAATCAAATAAGGAATAATAACGAATATACCAAAAAATAGAAAATTAGACCATATAGGACTAGATTTTTCTTCGCCTCCTACTGCTTGAACTAATGATCTTTGCCATAACTCTTCTTCGACAAAATTTCCATTACGTAAACCTTTGTAATAATAATATTGTATGTAGCATGTTATATTAAAACAATATTAATGATATACTTGAACATTTGTGAATAATTCATTACTTAAGAAAACTATTACAACTTACCAATCTTGTAAGTAATTTTTTTGTATATCCACTTTAAGAAACGAATTAAAGTGAATGTACTCAAAAGGTGACTAATAGTAGAACGCAATCTTCCAACACTGTCTGCAACGCTTAAGATAGCCTTAAAACAATTTGTTATCGCAAAGTATGAAGATTCTAATAACATTGTAATAGAAGAGAATGTTTGCAAGACAGTTTCTAACATTTGAAAAGTAGACCTTGTGCTTTCTTCGGCATACTGTGTAAATCTATATAACGTACATTAATATAATATAGTTTAAGCAATATCAATAAATGTTATAGTTATTTAAAGTATTAATTTAAAACATTCAACTTACCTATTTTCTATATCTCCGCTAGGTCCAGCCATAAACCCATAATTATTATAATTTGAATTGTTCATATATCCTCCAAAAGAACCATAGCTATTATATCCTCTATAATAATTATTCATGCTTCCGTAACTTCCATAACTATTTAAATAACCTGGTCTATAATCGTTATATCCCATAGATTGTCGTGGTGGTAAAGGAGGAGGAGCACTCGTTGCTGGAGCACTGTATACATTAAAAGATGGTTGGATACCTGACGTGCTGTAAGATGATAATTTTCATAAGTTTTCTGTTTTTGTAACGAATTTTTAAATATATTTTAATATTTTCTATAAACGATATGCACTTGAATTTTTATTCCAACCTCAATATATTTATATATATACAAATTAATTATGGTTTTATTGTAATTTGTATTACAAATAAAAAGTTATATTTTATTTACATGCAAATACCTTGTGAAAAGAGAGGATGCGTTTTTCAATTGATTCGTAGACATGTTCATTTTTTCTGGAGCCATTTCGAGAGCGAGAATTTATTTTCTTCGATTTTTCTTGTAAGATTAGAATGACTAAAATAATAAAATTGTAATGGCGCAATACATACTTGCATAGATATCTTTGGTCAAAGTTCATATTTTTTTAATATTCATGGATATGTTAATTTGAAAATGCTATTTGTACAAATTATGGTTATTATTTACTATAATCAATTATTATTATTATTATTTTTAATTTCCTATTGTTTATTAAGAAATTAATATATAAACGTTTAATTAATTCTTTAATTAACAGTTTAAGATTGATAATTTGATTAAATTGTTTGAATTGTTTACAAAAAAGGAATGAAGACTTAATTTCTCTTACCACTGCAATGACATATTGAAAACAGCCTTTAAATGAGGCACGTTAAAAACTTTCGAACGAAACTTTGACAATCGGACGCTTTCATATCGTCGAATTGGAAAGTTTTTTTAATATGAAAATAAAAATTTGAATCAATAACAAGAAAATTATACAAAGTCACACTTTAATTTTAATATCAGATAACAGCGCTACCTTACAAAGTTTCAATTATTGCAACATTTCAAACTGTAATCAATAATCTTGAAATCTTATTAATGAAGAGTTTAACTGTTAATAAAAAAACGAATTGTAAACATGATTTGCATAATTTGACATAAACTATATATTCTAATTATTTATTTAAATAATTATTTTTTTCTATAATATTCAATTAAATATTATTTAGATCAAATGATTTGAATTAAGAAGTAAATGATTGGCTAACATTCGTTGACAAATTATCTTTTATTTAATTTATCGTTCATGTGGGTCTATCTTAAAGATTGACTATAGTCACTTTTCCACCGCCATTTTATATTAAACAACGTGATCGTGTACTATACGTAATTGTTTCCGGTAATCTCTTATGTATGGATACAATGCTTTTGGTCTCATTAATCATTATATAATTAAGCCTCATTAATCTGTATATATATTTTCTAATATATAATATATATATACATTAATAATGTCCAGCCTCATGGCTTTTTTTGAAGAAAATATCCGTTATGAGTTATTATTTTTAACATGGGCTCTATACTTTTGGGAACTCTATCTGAATTTGCGTCAGGTAAGTTGTATTTTTGTTGGATTTATGATATAACATTATATTATTAATTAATTGAATAATGGTCATTATGATGATGATGACTATTATTATTATGGTTATTATTATTATTATTATTATTACAGAGAAAATTGTTACAACGATTAGTCAACATACCTGGGAATGTAAAAGATATTATGACCAAGGATGTGTACGACAAAGCACGTCTTTATGCTTTGGATAGAAACAATTACAATTTAGTTCAAAATTTATATTCCCAATGTTTTAATTCTGTAAGTACTCATACCGTAAACTAAATACAGGGAGTCCTGTAACTGATGGTAAAAACGAGCAGGGTTTGATTCTACATGAAAAATTAATGCATGCTAGACAGATTTTCGAACTTATTTTTCTCTAAAACAAAGTCTTACACAAACAAATTTTACTCCACATTTTCAACTTAGTTTTACGCGTAATTTCACCCTCTGTTCGTTTGTACCACCTGTTACACAACACTATATAATACACTATTAATTTTATTAAATAGAAATAATGGTGATTTATAACTTTTACAGATACTTCTATTATTCTTTGCGTTTTATTACTATTGGGAATGGAGTATCCAGTTAGCAAAATACTTTGGTCTTGATCACGGAAACGAAATAGTTGTCAGCGCTGTATGTGTATTTCTTAAAATTATCATTTCTGAAATTATTGATTTACCTTTAAGTATATATGACACATTTGTATTGGAAGAGAAGCACGGATTTAACAAACAGGTAAAACACAGGTTTCTTAGTTTCCTAATATTTATTTTTATCAATTACTTATTTATGTTATTTATTATAGAAACCATTATTCTTTGTAAAAGATCAATTGCTAAAAGTGCTTGTATTAGAAATAATTGTGGTACCTCTTATGTCTGGAGTAATATGGATTGTTATGAATGGTGGTGATTACTTCTTCTTTTATTTATGGGCATTTTCTGTCATTGTAACTTTATTTATGATGATCATATATCCGGAAGTAATAGCACCACTGTTCGATAAGTATACTCCTTTGCCAGAAGGAGATTTAAAGCAAAAGATTGAAGCACTTGCTGCTTCTCTAAAGTTTCCTTTGTACAAGCTATATCTTGTCGAGGGATCCAAAAGGTCTTCGCATAGTAACGCTTATTTGTATGGTTTTTATAAACACAAAAGAATTGTGTTATTTGATACTCTTGTGAAAGAATATTACAAACCAGATAAAGATGATGCTAATAAAGATATTGGTTGCGAGACAGACGAGGTATTGGGTGTACTTGCTCACGAGTTGGCTCATTGGAAGTATAATCATACTTTAAAAGGATTTTTATTATCACAGGTATAGTTTTAGTTATCAATAAATTTTCTATTCATTATATTAAATGATATTAAATGTCACAAATTTTTTCTTTACAGATCAATTTCGTCATAACATTTGTAGCATTTGCTAAATTAATGGATTATACGCCAATGTTCGTTGGATTTGGTTTTGAGAATTCACAACCAATCCTCATTGGATTTATCATTGTGACCAAATATATTTTGTTCCCACTCAATACGGTAAATATTTTAATAAATCAATATTTCTTTATTTCATTAAATTTTTGTGGTCTGATTTTAGGAATAAATTTCAGAATGTATTTCTATATTTATATTCTTAACAAAATTTGTAAAATTTGCTTTTTTTTTTATTAGATAATGCAATTTATATCAATGGTTATTATGAGAAGATTTGAATTTCAAGCGGATAAAATGGCTGTTGAATTAGGATATAGCGAACCATTGAAGAATGGATTGATTAAACTACAGAAAGATAATCTAAGTTATCCTTTATATGATAAATTGTATTCTGCTTGGAATCATAGTCATCCACCTATTCTTGAGCGACTTAGTGCTATAGATAAGGAAGATTAATATTAAAAAGATAAAATTTAACAGATGAAGAGTAGAAGTGAATTTTATTCAACTGGTAATTATGAAAAAGGTGACTAATAGTATATACCTTATACTGTATACGTGTGATTATAAATATACTACAAATGCTTCCTTTTAATTAAAAAGTAAATGAAAAGTATTGTATTTGTAGTAAGATTAGTTTCTGTTAAAGACAATTTTTTAAAGAATCATTATCGCCATACTATTCAAAGTCTACAAATTAATAAGTTGCATTTAGAAACGTATTTAAAAAGTTATTGTCATTAATAGAAGGTACACATCTTCATTGTATATTATATAATTAATCTGATATTATGTTATACAGCATATACACTATATATACATTTTGTAAGTTTATCGCACAAGTGATTTATCTTTTACAAAATTTGTGTGTATATAGGTGTATGTACTTCTTTAGATAAGTACTTATGTTTTTCATGTGTTTTGTCATTTTTTTAAATTTATAAGATACAAATGAAAACTTTTTAATAAAATGTGAAATATAAACGGATTTCAAATAATTCAAATGTCTTAATTAAAAAATTAAAAATTCTAATATGCTAATGATTTTTATAATCATATTTAATATATGCATGTGAAAGACGGACTTTGTACGCTTGTTATTAACAAATACCTGAATTCACGTGGGATTATGTTCCTTTTGAAACCTGTTAGACTAATTAAGTCTAGTTTAATTTGCTTTCATTTTGAAATAATAATAGTAGACATTATTTTAACGTAATATCAAGCTAATGACTTATTTTAAATTTAAACTTTATATACGCTATTTTTCTGTAGAATTACACTATGTTTGTTATATTAATCTAAAATGATTTCGGATTAACAATTAATATTTTCATATTCGTATGTTTCCTGCAAGTAATCCAATATGTCTTGCTGCTTCGTTTACATTATGATTATAATACATAACAAAAGTGAATGAAAATCATAATTTTTCGATCCACTTTCACTTGATTTATAAGAAATGTCAGGAATATATGTTAACAAATGTAAACTAGAAGGCAGATTGGAACAATAATAAATATTTAAAAAAGAATACAAAATTTTTTTTTATTTAAACTTACTTTTACGCATATTTGATCAGAAATTGACTACTGGTTAGCACGCGACACTAATGTGATGCCATTAGCTATTGACTGTCGTTTTTCATATAGCATCACGATGGTGTCATCAGACAGGAAAGTAGTAAATATTATAAAGTACTTTTCTGCACAACTAATAATTTTGATTTACACTTTTTTGTTTTCCTAATAGAGAATTATTACTTTGTCTTTATATCACAATATAATCATATTATTACTAAGATTTGAAAATGTTCAAATTGAAATAACAAATGTAATTATTATAAAAGAATAAAATACTTTATTATCTAATAAATATATTTACCTTATGAGACATGTATCAGAGATATTTAATTATATTCTATATGAGCCGTTGATGAATCTAACATTTCAACTTCAGAACTCATGTCACCAGTGGAATAATTTACAACGGCGTCTCTGGAGTCTGTAATTCTATTAGATGTATTTGTTTCTGCTTTATTAGAATCCTCACCCCATCCAGAAAATAAATTAACTCTTAATTTGCCGATGTCTTGATTTTGTGAATTAACCGTGCTAGTAGAAGTTTTTGCCGAGTCTATTATTTCTGGTTCTACTCTAGAGTCAGGATTTGTATATTTAGGAATATCAATAGGTGCATCTGAAATATGTCAATCGAAATTTTGATCTTTTGATTTACGAAGAATTGTTTATGAATAATAAATTATATATATATATATATATATATAGACCAGGATATGGTGGAGCTTCATCAATAAGTTGTTCCATGACATAAGTTAGCATAGTTGTTGTAAATGTATCATCCCTTCTAAGTCCTAAAGCTCTATGAAAAGCATCAACTGCTTCTTGAATATTTCCCATTAAAGCATTAATAAAACCTATTGCTGAATATGTTGATGGGTTTAAAGGATTTAATACTAATGCCTACAATACAATGATAAATATTACTTATATATTTTTATAACAGATTGTTCAATTTTTCCACGTAAGAAAAAGTAATGATTTAAGTTAGTATAATATATGTATCTTGTACCTGCTGGTGATAAGTCAAAGCTTCTTCATATTTCTTCATCTTTCTACATGTGTGACCTAAGTTATTCAAAAGCGCTTCCCACTTACTGGGTAAAATAACATCCTTAAGTCCGCACTGAACTCTTTTCATAGCTTCCTTAAATTGTTTTTCTGCAGTTTTGTAACTATATTAGATGAAATTATAACTCTCGATAACTTAGATAGATTTTCAAATATTTTTTAAATATATCATAAGAGCTTACTCCATATTATAAAATGATATTACTCCCATTTCATGTATAACAAATGGATCATTTGGTGCTATCTCTTGAGCCTGTTGAAAAAACTTGTCAGCCAGTTTAAGATTATTTGTTAATCCACATTCCAATCCTATGTACAAAAGTGGAAGATGACAACCTTTCATTAATTGTGATGCGTTGAAATAAGCAGCCATTGCTTGATCATGTTCATTTTCTACTGCAAATGAATGCCCGTACACTAACCAAGTTGGCGCGAATAAACTATTCAATGTTGTAGCTTTAACTAAATACCTTCTGGCTGGGTCACTTTTACCTGCAACATAAATATACAATTTAAAAGGTGAGTTAAGAAAAAAAAATTAAGAAGGATACTTTAATCGGTAGAAATCTTTTACCTATACTATAATAATAACATCCCACAGCAAACCACGCTAAAGCCATATCTGGATATAGATCAACTAATTTGTGCGCCAGATAAAATAATGCTAAAAAAGATAAATATTATCTAACAAGGAATTTTTTATAAGCAAATAGTATTGTAGATAAATATCCTAACTGAAAAATAATATTTACCATTGGTTTTTTTTAATTCAACTAAGCAGGCAATATGTACTGGTAGACATGCTGTATGATACGGATCCTTGTTTAAAATTCTATGTAATTAATTAAATGTAAAAAAGAAAGATAATATTGTGTAATATATTAAATAATTAAATATTTGCAAAAGAGAGAAAATTTCGTAATCACCTTTCTGTAAGTGAAAAACATTTATTATAATCACAATTATAATACAGTCTTTCAGCTTCAGAAACTTCTAAATCTAGATTATCTGATAATCTATCAATTACAGGGACTCCCATTACACTACAACTGGTCAATGATTGTTTTTTATACGGTTCCTGATATTTTTTTAGTTTACTTTCATATAATAAACGTAATAGTTCAGCTTCTGCTTCCGTACATTGTTCTCCGAAAGGAAGAGATTCCAATAGTTCTCTTTCTAATAAAATTAAATAATTGCATTATTATAGGTTTTATTATTCGATATGTATGTCTATATGTATGTAAAAGATAATTCCAATATAAACCTTCTGTTGCTGAAAGCATTTGATTTTGTACAAGAGATTCAAATGCTTCATAAGAAAAAACATCGCAATGTAGTGCTTGTTTGTAACAATCTGTTGCCATCGCTCTATTATCCATAGCTTGATAAACTTTACCTTTTACATATAATATAGCACTTTGTACCTAATAGAATAACGAATAAACAATCGATGGAAAATCAAATATACATATAATTATATTTTTTAGACAATTTTAATATATAGTAATAATTTTTTGTAAGTAGCTCTGTGCGTTAAATCATAGTGTAAGAGATTAATATTAATATTAATGTAATAGACTTACATTTTTTGAAGTATCTTCAAGAATATCAGGACGATCATTAAAATTAATTCCTGATTGATTTATATTAGTATAAATTTCAGATTCATTAATGACTTGAAGAGCTTCATTATATTCTCTTGCTTCGTAAAGACTTTTTACTGCTAAGTAATGACACATTATGTAGGTCTGGAAAATGCAGAATATTGTAATAATCATTTAATAATTTACGACAAAAATATTACATAATATTAACACATTCGTAACCGGTGTTGTTTGAGCGAGATGTTTAACTGGATACTACATAGAATAACTTGAAATAAAAAACATAGTACTAAATGAAAAAATAATATTATAATTTAACAAGTCTAACAAGCAAATGTAAACAAAATAAACATTTAACAATTAAACAAAATTGAATAGTAAAAATATAATATTTTTATGTGTGTGTTAATTACGTTAACAACATTAAGCAACATATTTTGAAATAACGTAGAACTATGTCACCAATATTCAACTGAAAAATCTAAGATGATGTAGGATTACGTAGACAATCTCAAATGTGTTAATAATCCATAATTGTTTCTTAAACCTTTTCTAGTCCTCGACTTCTAATAAGATGTGCAGCTCGATGGTATTGCTTCATAAGATACATACAATGTGCTAAAGTACATATATCTTTTGGATCTTCGTTACTCAATGAAACAACTTTATCGGCCCAAAATAAAGCAGCACTATACAAATGCTGTGTAAGCAAATATTAAATATTAATGTATAATATATTACTCATTCTAACCTAAAAAAAATAAAAAAAAATATTACCAAATCGATGTATGATTTAATTAGTTTTCTGAAGTTTTTCAAGTCTATATCTTTGTTGTTGTCCATAGAACTTTGCATTTTTTCGCAATTCGCACTAGCCACTTGACAAGCCATATCAAATGTTTGTTTTCAAATTATACAATAACAGATTAATATTATTATGACAGATGTAGGAATTGGTTATGTGATGTAAATACTTGTGTAGAAAATTGTATCTCTTTTGTACGTTATATAAATATATTACAGATTACGATCCTGAATAAGATTTTTTAAAATTAAAGTGTTGTAATTAAACAGGATATAATATAATACAGTATCTTTTTCAAATGAAAAATTTTCTTGGTTATACGGAGATGCTTTCAAATGTTTATACAAATTCGGAGCCGCAAGATGAGATATAAGGTTTGTTCTTTTACAGTGAGATGGGGCTGTGAAAAAATATCACACATTTTGTTCGTTATGCGCATGCGTGATTATTCTCTTCATAAAAGAAAGCGGGATAGTAATTCGCGCGCCAAAAATAAAAATGCGAATCATGTTAAATGTTTATTTTAATTACATTTGCTTGTAGACTTGTTAAATTATAGTATTATTTTCCATTTAGTACTATGTTTTTATTTACTCATGTAACTTCATGTGAAGTTATATGAGTGTCATATGAATCAGATCATCGATTGTTCAGAATATCTCGAGAACAATAGACACAGTATGTATATATGATAACTTCATCGCTGCGTATGGTACGTAATCCTTCCATGGGGTCATGGTTAATGCTTATTTATGGTCGGGAAATGTGTGGTTGACGATCATAAAATTGTCCACGTAAGGTACAAACTTTACACTACTACATGTTACTACATGACTACTAAAATGTTATCCATGAATGAATCGTTTACGTTCCATGATTTGATCTATGAATTTAAGCATAAAAAAAGATTATTTAGATTCGACAATAT